GGTTCATATTATGATGATTATGATTATGATTATTACTGTTTGGAATTAATCACGCTACACATATTATATTCGTTGTGCTCGGTTGTATTCTTCATTGATAAGTATATTCTTACTGTGGATTATATATATACATATAGATATACATATTTTTCAACAATCTTATCATCTATCCATTTAATATTTGTGTGTAAGTCTGTTATTATCTTATATTAATAGTGTTTACTTTTTATGTATATTGGAGTAGCATGTTAAAAAAGGGATAGTGATATTGTGGTGGTGTTTCGTTCATTGAACTGGATGTTTTGGTTATGGAGTTTTCATTGCTGTTTTTCTTCTGAACAACATCATCAGATAGAAGTGGAGAAATTCGAATGATTCACTTCTATCTGAAGTTTGTGCTGATCATGTTGTTCAGTTAGAAGAACAATGAAAACTCCATAACCAAAATATCTAGCTCAGTGAACGAAACACCTCCACATTTATCCCCCCTGAGCTACAAAGTTTCTCCACCATCTCAGGATAGTGATATGCTTGAATGGTATTACGAGTTCATCTAAACGAGAGCGAAGACAAATGATACACTGACACGATAGGGTTATTCTAATATGTTTGTCCGCGTCACGACTAACTATATCAAGAATTCTTGATAAGTCGTAGAAAGTCTGTTTTACAAGCATCTAGAAAATACGAGGTAGACAAGCACATGAATCAAGTTTATTTATACTATGATAGAAACATCCTTGGGAGAGCCATAAAAATAGTGTACTAAATATAACACATCAAGTAATGACAATCAAGGATTTTCCGAATGGGAAATGTAAGCTCAAGGTCATCTAAACGGCTTATGCGCGAAAACGTAAAAATCTCGAAATTAGGATCCTTTCCCAGTGAGTTTTGTGGATCTAGCGTCCACAACAGATAGGTTGGGTGTAAGAAGTGTACCTGGATGATAGTTCTCAGTTTTTATTTGTTTACACACTATGGAACAAATAGTTTTCAGGGTTAGCTCAAGGACGGAAAAAGGGTTGTGTTGACTTTGGTGAATGTATATGTATGTTTGTGGCTTCAGAGTTTAAGAAACAGCTGTTTAAAGCTTGTCACATACGAACTATCAGTGAGTAGAGAAATAAACTGGATTTTATCATGTATATGTATTTATATATATTGAACTCGGACAAATTGGTTATTGAGTACCGATTTAGTTTGTATTCTATACGTAATGTGCTCTACCAAGGAGTCGGTAAGACTCTTGGATTCAATTACTAATGAAGTTTTGAGTATTCATTGATAAATAGTAGTCTCAATGTAAAATGAAACAGTTATCCAATATTCTGTATTTTTAGTTTTAAACATTTGTTCATGTAGACAACATAATACTTACTGACTGATATATAAGACTTCCTATGAATCTTCAACGTCCTGTACCTTTTTTTCTCTAAATGAGAATCTCAATTCAGAATGAAACCATTAGATATATCTGTTTGTGATAAAGTTAATAAAAATTTATCTACCAAAACACCTAAACAGAGCTTCATTCCAAAATTCATAAGATTGTTAATTAGTGATTTGAATTAATCTTGTCTATTGTATTTATCATATCTTATCAATAAATAATCCAAACAGTAGTCTTGAAACCATTTCTATACAACACATGTGTTATTTTTGATGAAACCTTATGAATTTTTAAACATGCAAACATATAAACTAAACTATATTCAGTATATATATATATATATATATATATATATATATATGTTTGTGGTTTGTCTGTTTCCAGAAAACCTCATCATTTTTTTCCGATATTTACACTTCATGTTTGTCTAACTACTTAATACTGATTGAATTCTACTGATCGCTGCTCTCAATGAGAGATGGTGGAGAAGAAGGTGGATGATTGTGGTGGTGGTGTTTGGTTCTCTGAGCTGGGTGTTTTGGTTGTGGAGCTTTCATTGCTGTTCTTCTGCGCACAACAACATCATCAGCACAAACTTCAAACTTCTATCTGAAGTTTGTGCTGATGATGTTGTTCAGAAGAACAATGAAAGCTCCACAACCAAAACACCCAGCTCAGAGAACCAAACACCACCACCACGCTCTCAATGAGAGTAGGAAGTAGTAGTCTGTTGGAATCCCTGAATGGGAATTTCATATTAGTTGACATGTATCAAAAAGACGTACCTTGATCGATAGAGTTCAACCAACATTACGAAAACTAAGCGAATGTAATAGTGGTTACTGTTCTGTCCAAAGAATATCGGTTCCTTCAACATTATAAGCATTTTCTCTTGATGAGTATCAACTAGTTAAAAGCGTAGATCTTGGGTTATTGGCTAATTACTTCTAACCACCATAATATTCTTCAATCTTAGAATTTTTTTCTGTTGTATGTCATTTTTGAAACCCTTTCCATTGTAGTGTGGGCAGTGGATAAATACATTGTCTAATCAATAAGCCAGTTTAGAAGGACTTAATTTTATAGGTTCTAATAATCACTGATATTTTAAATCAATTATTTTCTCTAACAATTATTCATTCTATTTCCTAATATCTGTCAACGATAAACATTTTACGTTAATAATCTGCATTTATTACATAATCATCTTTGAATCGTTCCTATAATGTGAATAAATATTTCTTCAGTTGTATATTACATAACACTTAATCATCGTGTCTGGCAGGTCAATCTATATAGTTTAGTTTAATCGATATAATTGATATTCTTGAATGCTATTTATGAGTTCATTGTAATCGATAAACGAGGGCGAAGACAAATGTTTCCAGTGACACGATAGGCTATTCTAATCCGAGCGTCCCAAGGCCCTACTAAGTAGAGGAAAAAGTTTTGATATGGCGTAGAAAGTGTATTCTACAAGCAATCTGAAAAATATGTGATTTCACAAGCACACAAATCGAGTTTATGTATACTATGATAAAAATATCCTTGGGAGATCCACAAAAATAGTGTACTAAAATAATACATTAACCAATAATAACAGTCAAGGATTTTCCCAATGGGAAATATAATCTCAAGGTCAACTGATAAGCTCATGCACGAAACCATAAAACCCTAATTTAGGACCTGAATCAAGTGATTTCTGGAAATCTAACATCCCCAACAATAATTCATAAATTAGTTTACTAGTTCACAAAAAGTAAAGAAATCAGTTGTAATTTTAGTTTAAAACTTGTCACACAATCATTTAGAAACAATTACTAGATCAAGTACACTCATAAATGATGAACAATATTATTCACTATTATCACTCTCCGTAATATCGAAATTATGCCCCAAATTTGAATATCGAAATATGTTATTTGCAAACTTTGTAACAAGGTGTCTTTTTCACCAAAACACACTTATTATTACATACTGGAAGTGGATCCACTCTGCCCCCTGACTGACTTTAAGGAACTAAGTTATTGTTGTCGGATTCCAGCGTGCTAATTGAAAGCTGAGTATACTCGTACGTTACTGCTTTATATCCCTAGATATAGTTATGTTCATTTTTAATGAATGTGATGTGAATGTCCATGACTAAACAGTTTAATATTATATCCTATCTAATGATTGAAACGGAACACTAAGTATTTATTTTTTTGAGACGATTCAAATTAAACTAAAAAATTAACACGAATAGAATTTATGCTGATTTGTGTTGTTCAAAAGAACAATGAGATCTACACAACCAAAACATCCAGCTCAAAGATCGAAACTCCGCCATAATTAAATTTTTTCAATACTGACTTCATGTATTCTTGTACTTTTGGATAATTTAGCCACATCGATATCATATTGCTTTCAGGACATGTGTTGCGTATGTGTCTAACCACCGACTGCGTCGATGAGCTATGTTTTGTGGTGTAGGAATAGGTTGGAAAAAAGCTACGGGCATTGCTCGTATATCCTGGGACACCCGAGTGAGCAACACTGTTATTAGGAAACGGGTTCTAGGTAAGAATGGCAGATCAATAGATGAAGTAATGAAACTTCATCAGTTGAGATGGTAGGGACATGTGTTGCGTATGCCCAACCACCGAATGCCTCGATGAGCTTTGTTTTGTAGTGTAGGAATAGGTTGGAAGAAAGTTAGGGTCGGCCAAACCAAAACATGGCAGAAATCCATGAAGTCATTGACGAGTTGACTTAGCCATGACGGTAATTGTCGACTACATGGTTGGGGTCCGCGAGATGATAATAATCGATGGCTAGAGACCTTGAATGACATGGCTCAAAACCGTTTGCAATGGCGCCGGTGCATTTATTCTTTGTGTTCTCTCAAATCATAATCTTCTGGATTCTTCAACCGCTCTAGCCTTGACTTTCTAAACTTTTCTCACTGAATCATACTTCGTGAATAATATCTTCTAATCCTAACCTCTCCGATTACTTCTAATACCTTTACTACCTCTTCTACTATTGTATTTGAATTGACAATTACATCTCTGTGCTGATGTGGTATGGCAACATGAACTGATGTACGAACTTGCGTACGAAGTTCTACGTTGCATCTGACCGACTGACTGACTGACGGGTGGCCAAACCAAAACCAAATCCATGAATTCACTGATAAGTGGACTGAGTCATGTTGGTATATGTCGACTACCTGATTGGAGTCTGCGAGTCGTCAGTCACCAATGGTTAGAGACCTTGAACGACAAGGCTTAAAGTTTCTTCATTACTGACTGCATGCATTCTTGTACTTACTTGCTTACGCCTGTTACCCCCAATGGAGCATAAGTCACCGACCGCTTTTCTCTAACCAACTCTGTCCTAGGATTCCCTTTCCAGTTCTATTCAATTTTTGTTCATTCTTCTCATATCTTTCTCTATATCTCGGCGTAATGTGTTCCTCCCCCTTTTCCTTTTGCCTTGAGGGTTCCAAGTGAGCGCATTCTTGTACTTTTTGGATATTTTAACCACACACTGACATTACATTGTTTTTATTTCAAATATCTGCTTAAAACATAAATTGGTTACGTTTTTATTTTTGTTGTTGTAGTCCATTCACCGACATTCCTTCATCTTATTTATCTGATACAACAAATCTCACTAAACAAACAACACATTCCATCATTGATATGAATAATAATAATAGTACAGGGAATACAGCACAAGTACATTGTAATACTACTTCTAATAATAATAATAATAGTAGTAGTAATAGTAGTATTAATACTATCAATACTATGGATTTAATGAATCATGAAAAAATAGACAATCCCATCATTAAATCGACCAATAATAATAATAATAATACTCTTTCATCAAATGATTTATACCGTGAACCAGTATTAACACGTGTTGCTGCTAGTCTACGTAATTCACCAATTGTTTCATCTCAATCACCATTACACATACAAACTACCTGTTTACCAATCATAAACAACAACAACAACAACAACAGCATCATCAATCAAACAATGAAACGTAAACACAATGATACATCGCTGTCTGCATCATCTTCACCAACAATCACATTAGAATTAGAAAGTATCAGTTCTGATGATATGCATGATGATATGATGATCATTGATGAGCAAGAGCAACATCAACAACAGCACCAACAGAATAAACCAAAACGTAGAAAAAGTATACAACAATGGAATTTTAGAAGAAAATCTAATTTGAATCGATTATCTGAAGAGGAGGATGTTGGTGATGAGGATGAGGATCAGGATGTTGATGATGACGATGACGATGATGATGATGATGACGAGACTACAGCTATGATTATTACCAGTTCACCTAATCTTAACAATCATGATCACAATGCTGATGATGATGATAATGATAATAATAATCATAATAATAATAACATTGATATCAATAATACTATTGTTATTAACAATAATACTGAATTAATGACCCCATTAACAACAACACTTGATGAACTACAACCTCTCAATGATATTCTCATGTAAGTACGCAATTAGTATATATATATATATATATATATATATATATATATATATATATATATATTAAAAAATTATCATGTTATGCTCTCTCTTCTTCAAATTATAACTAAGCTTCTTGACCAGTGTGATATAATTATAATAACATGTGAAAAGAAAATATTTTAATATGTGTTAAGTTGATGGTGTTATTCATTAGGTCACTACAATTCACATGTAGCTGTATTCATGGTCAACCAACATGCCTGCTGCACATGCACATCGCTGCGTTGATATACAGCGCAAGGATACTCACTGTTGCCAACAGTACTGACCCCTGCCCCTTTCGGGTACATGCATGTTGTCCGGTTTGGTCTGCGGACAAATCGGACATCCAAAAAGCACGCACACAAGCAGTGGCCCCTGCACGGGCACTTATGAATCTAGAAATCCCACCAGCCAAACCACAGCCCACAATGCCCAATCGGCGAGGGCGGCAAGGCGGGCTTATCCTTCCGGACAAGGCACCCCGTAGCAGGTTACCGAGCCACCCAAGCAATGCACTAACCAACAGCCATTCCAACCGTCTGGAATCCAACTGCCATGCGTTGATACAATCGATCGAGGCCCTCTGAACCCCGCATGAAGCTAAAGATCGAGTTTGTCCCACAAGGTCAGCTAGAACGTACACCTTTCCATGAGGAAGATGTCATGGACTCGACCAAACGCAAGCGTCCAGCCAAGCAGGGTTCATCCCACAGAAGTGGGCAGACATCATTGGTGTTCAGTACCTTTTCAGCACTTAAGCACCGGAACCCAACTTGAGACCTTTGTTTAAGGGGTTCATACACTACATCGGGTGCAGCATGTAAGGGACAACCACATAGGGTCGGCGTCAGTAGTCCAGGATGTCTGCGGCTGCTTCCCCAAACATAGGGTCCAGGGCCGCCCTCGATCATCCTACTACATCCCTTTCGAGAATTTACCTACGCTTGAAGGACGGGATTCGGACCTAGAGTCGTTCAGTCTTAATCCCCCAGACTGGTCAGACGCATCCACAGCCTTGCGACCATGAGCGTGCCATTTATCCGGACCATGCTTAGCACGGTATCCTAAGTGATCGGAACGACTTTAGCCGTAGCGATGTATCCACTGCCACGTTGCCTGGCGGGACCACGAAGAGGTAGTCGCCACCACAACCCCCTCAAAGGCGCCAATATTGCTCAACCCGAGGCCACCTCATGCATTCTAAGGCTACGCCCCTCATATGACGAGGCATTTGGCTACCTTAAGAGAGTCATAGTTACTCACATGTAGCTGTGTGAGTTTAAGCGTCAGTCAGTAGGTTTAATTGATAAACTGTTCCTATCAGGCTCTAGGCGCTTGTCAACAAAGTTGGTTGAGATTTTTACACGTTGACTCCGATGTTACAGTAGTAGCTGATATTTGACTAGATCAAGATGTAATATCATGAAGTCATGGACTTTTCAGCTGAATCGTGTTACCAAGTACAAACTTTCTGGTTATAATCCACAAAGAATTTCTAATGCTTATGGTGGGAGACATTTAGTGACATGGCTAACATAACCTAAGATATCTACTAGTAATGATGTGAAATATGCCCGGAACCTGACTTTATATTGTCAATATCCTTGATACGCTGACATAAACTTGTAAATTTTCGATGCAAGTTCGATTAGCTTGCGAAAAGACAACATTTATTGTTCGACTAAATAACTTGTTAGTCGAATGTTGACTGGTCCCTTGGTGAGACCTACAGAGACATTCGAAAAAGCTATTATCAATTATACACACTAGAAGTTGAGTCGAATTAATTTTTCGAAAACGGAACTTTTACAGTTTTTCATCCTTCTTTTTCACCTCATCATGATTCCCAACCATTCATTCATCTAAATTGAAGAAATTATTCAAGAAGTGTAATTCAGTGTAATAAATTTAGGAAGAGAAAAATAGAGGTGATGAGGAATTCAGAAGATTAGAATATCATAGAACACAAAGAGTGGATTCACCTGCGCCATTGCAACCGGTTTTGAGCCATGCCGTTTCAAGGTCTGTAATCATCGGTTACTGTTGTTTCTCAGACCCCAACCAGTTAGTCTACACTTACCAACATGGCCCAGTTCACTTGTCAGTGACTTCATGGATTTGTGCCATGTTTTGGTTTGACCGCACCTAGCTTCCTTCCAACCTTCTCCTACACCATAAAACATAGGTCATCGAGGCAGTCGGTGATTGGACATTAGTAACCGGTGTGCTAACCAATACTTCATCTGTTGATCTGCCATCCTTACCTAGTACTCGTTTCCTAACGACAGCATTGCTTATATGGTTGTCCCAGGATATATGAGCCATGCTTCAGAAACACCAATGATCGTAAAACAGTAACATACGAATAACTTTTACTCTGACTGGCCATGTTTCGCATCCATAAAGTAGGACGGAGCTAACTGCTGTACAGTACACTCTTCCTTTGGTTGTTGGACGTATATCTTGCCGACGCCATAACTGACGCGAGTTGACAAAAGCCATTTGAGCCTTCTGTATCTGCGCTGTGGTTTCTTCAGTCACCAGATCATCAGGACTGATGAGACTCGCGAGATAAGTGAAGCGGTCTATACGCCCAACTGATTCACTCCTTATCACTAGTTTAGGTGTTGACAAAACCCAATCCTGAAGCAACATTATGCATTTGGAGTTGGAAAACCGTATTCTGAATAGGCTTGCATTGTTGCTTACGGTAGTCAGAAAACTCAACATTTTGTAAGCGTCTTCACCAAGTAGAACCATGTCATCCACATTTGCATAATGTATTAATATGAAAACCTGAATTTTTCCATATATTTATCTAAACTTTATGTTGTTTATGACTTTGGTTTAAGTTTGATTGGGTAATTGAAATAGTACACCTAATCGTTTCACATTGGCTTTACTTACAAAATAAAGCGTAAGCTGTAGGCTGTTAATCCTAAACTTCTTTGAAACATTGATTGTATATCGTGGGATAACTGAGTGACAAATGCTGAAGTTAAACGTGGATTACTAACAAAAGATAACAAATCGGTTAGTGAAACTATCAATCTTCGTCTGCTTAGGTGCTTATAATTCTTCTGCATATCCAGAAACTTTACATTGTCGAACCTCCTCAGCATTGCCGAATTAATAGTCCCATGATACATGAGCAATGCTTAGAAGGTATCGATGTTCAAACACTAGGTAATCTTTGATATTTTTAAAGGCCATAGTTCACAAACATAAAATAGAACACAATGAGTTACTTTCCATTATACAGACAGACAGACAGATACAACTCAGAACTTCGTACATAAGTACATCAGTTCAAGTTGCCATACCACGTCAGCACAGACACGTAACTGTCAGTTCAAATCCAATAGTGATAGCGATAGTAGAATTATTAGCAGCAATAGAGAAGATTAGGGAGCAAAGATATGATTCGAAAAGTATAATTCAGTGAGATAAATTTAGAAGGAGATAGAGATTATGACGAATTCAGAAGATTAGAATTTCATAGAACACAAAGAGTCAGTCAGTCAGTTGCAACGTAAGAACTTCGTACGTACGTACATAAGTTCATGTTGCCATACCACATGAGCACAGAGACGCAAACGTCAAAAAATCCCATAGTGATAAAGATAGTAGAAGTATTAATGGTAATGAAGAAGACTAGGGTTCGAAGATCTTATTCAAGAAGTATAATTCAGTCAGATAAGTTTAGAAAGACAAAGGTAGAGGTGCTGATGAATCCATAAGATTAGGATTTGAGAGAGCTCAACAAACGGATGCACTTGTGCCATTGCAAACGATTTTGAGCCATTTCGTTCAAGGTCTCTAACCATTGGTGACTTTTGTCTCGCGGACCCCAACCAGGTAGTCTACATCTACCAACATGACTCAGTCCACTTGCTAGTGACTTCATGGGTTTTTGCCATGTTTTGGTCTGGCCGCCCCTATCTTTCTTCCAACCTACTCCTACACTGAAAAATATAGCTCCTCGAGGCAGTCGGTGGTTAGCCACAGGTAATACATGTCCTCAACTGATGAAGTTTCAACACTTCATCTATTGATTTGCCATCCTTACCTAGTACTCGTTTCCTAACAACAGCATTGCTTACTCGGTTGTCCCACGATATACGAGCGAACACAAAGAGTGGATGCACCTGCACCATTGCAAACGATTGTGGGCCATGTCGTTCAAGGTTTCTAACCATTGATGACTTTCGTCTCGCTTCCAATATACTCTCTCCTTGATTGACGAATAGATATCTCATATATGCCACAGGTAACTCAAGTTGTCAAAATCATTATTATGAGGCTTCTGTACATATAACATAGTCAAAATTTCTACAAAATGTTTTAGTTTTTCTGGTTTCATTTACCTTTTTTTTTTATTCTCTAAAGACCTACAACATCAAATATGTCAAACAATCTACATATGGCATTAGACAATTTTCGAAATTCTATTCATGAAGCTTTACAAAAATTACAAGAAACATTTGTTCCTACAATAGATGCTATAGATAATGGTAAGTATTTGAGTATGATTGTAGTTTTTTTAATGAAATTCAGAACAAAAGTAAATGTTTTTTTTTTGCACATTGAAATTATTATTCAAACAATCATTGTTAGACTACCATTAGAAACCTGGAAGCATTGGACGACCGTTTCGTCCTGGTATCGGACTCATCAGTAGTGTGCATCCACGACTCCTGCACCTCACAGGAAGGATCTTCGGTCTTGAGCGCGATCGCCTAACCTCTGGACCACTGATCTGGTATCTAACGGTTTTAATATCTAACTGTGATCAATATACAAATTTTGCGCGACCTCACCCATTTGTCTTTGGTATTTTTACTGCTTAAACCCAACAGGGTTGAATGTGCACTGCTGATGAGTCCCATACCAGGACGAAACGGTCGTCCAGTGCTTCCAGGTTTCTAATGTTGGTCTAACAATGATTGTTTGATTGATGATTTCAATATGTAAAAAACACTAATCTCCATAACTCCAATTGAAAATAAAATAAATGTTTTGTTTACTTAGTGAAAGGACACATGCTCTGTCCGTTCTTTAAATAGAAGTTATGCTATGTATATACTAACAATATGGGACAGATCCATTCTAACCGTTGACACAGTCTGGTAAACAGTCATTAACCTTGTGCAAAAACCGCTGATAACACCCTAACTTCTGTGGGTTCAGTGTACAGCTTCCCTGTCTATCACGGTAGGCGATCAGAACACAAGAACACAAGACGATAAGACTTCCAATATTGCTTATCGTTATAGCTGAAACACATGGTTGTACACTGCATCATACCACAAATAGGAAATCATGGCTTCAATATACGACAAGCACATAAGCGTTTGGGAATGTAGCGTAAAGTAGAAAATTTTATAAGCAATAGTATCACAGTAGTTAACCTATCCAACGGAAGTTTACAATACTAAGCAGATGAAAAAAGGACGCAATAATTGTTAACAGGGAGATCCTTAGAAAATTTTCATACAGTGCTATGACTGCTATGCTGCAGCTACACAATTTAGACTTCACACATGATCTAGCCCTTCTATCCTACACACAGCAATAAGTGCAGGGGAAGATGACTAGTGTAGCAGCAACCTCTGTTTTTACAGGCCTCAACATACATAAAGGGAAAAATAAGATTCTGTGATACGATACAACACAATGTGCACAGACCCAACTACAATAAAGGAAGAATCATTGAAAAATGTGCGAAACTTAACATAACTGGGCAGCATTATTGATAAAGAAGGTACACCTGATGCAGATGTGAAGGTATGGATTGGCAAAGCTAGAACAGCATTTCTATTAGTGGAGATCTTTTAGAAATCAAAACACCTATCAGCCAACAACAAAGTCAGAATTTTCAACTAAAATGTCAAAACATTTCTATTGTATGGAATGGAAAGTTGAAGAACTACGAAAGTCATCATTCACATTGCGAAAATCACTCTACAGCGTCACAATACAAGTCCTAACTTGGATTTCTCAAGGCCAGAGGAAAAAAAAGAAGACTAAAGAACACATTACGCCGATAATTGGAAGCACACATGAAGAGAATGAATAACAACTGAGTAGAGTTGGAAAGTACAGCCGATGACAGAGAGTTGATTAGAGAATACTGGTCGGTGACTTATGCTTCATTAGGTGTAAAAAGTGTCAATACGATTAGTCTCTTGAAGAAATCATGATATTGTTTATTAAAATGTGTTATGCTGGTCACTGGATATACTTGGAACTATTACGGGTTCACCTTAGTCGATAAACGAGAATGAGACAATGAATCAGTGAGACGATAGGCTACTCAGATCCGTTGCCCCAACTAACTGAAGAAAAAGCCTTAATATGCCGTAGAACGTGTATTCTACAAACACCCAACCAGCACACTGATCTCAAGCACACAAGTCGCGTTTATTTATACATCATAGAGACGTCCTTGGGAGAGTCACAAAAATAGCACACTAAAATAACACATCAGCCAATCACAGCCAAGGATTTCCCCGGTGGGAAATGTGATCTCAAGGTCAACTGATCAGCCCATGATGAAAATCCAGAGTTAAGATATTTATCGAGCTAGTTCTGGGGATTTAACGTCCTTCAAAAAATGAGTTACAAATGAACACTGTGTAAGACAAGTGATAAATGTATGTTATGTATGTGTGTGCGTGTATTTATCTACTACAACTCAAGATATAAGAAGGTAAAATGATCAAAGTGAAGAGAAGAATAAGAAGAAGACAAGCTTATTGAATATCATCATTTATATATGTCATGTGGAATATTCCGAATTAATTTATATTTTAATTCTCTAACTGATAATTGTAGCTGTCAGTCAGTCAGTCAGTCAGATGCAACGTAGAACTTCGTACGTAAGTACATCAGTTCATGTCGCCATACCACATCAGCAAAGACATGTAACTGTCAATGCAAATCCAATAGAAGTAGAGGTAGTAAAGGTATTAGAACTTGTCGGAGAGGTTACGATTAGAGGATATTATTCAAGAAGTATGATTCAATGAGATAAGTTTAGAAAGTCAAAAGTAGAGGGGTTGAAGAATCCAGAAGATTAGGATTTGAGAGAACACGAAGAATAAATGCACCGGCGCCATTGAGAACGGTTTTGAGCCATGTCATTCAGGGTATCTAACCATCGATTATTATCATCTCGCGGACTCCAACCATGTAGTCGACAACTACCGACATGGCTAAGTCCACTCGTCAATGACTTCATAGATTTCTGCCATGTTTTGGTTTGGCCGCCCCTAACTTTCTTCCAACCTACTCCTACACTACAAAACATAGCTCGTCGAGGCAGTCGGTGGTTAGGCATACGCAGAACAATGTACCAACCACCTCAACTGATGAAGTTTCAACACTTCATCTATTGATCTGCCATTCTTACCTAGCACCCGTTTCCTAATAACAGCGTTGCTCACTCGGTTGTCCCACGATATACGAGCAATGTTTCGAAGACACCTATGATCGAAAACCAGTAACCTACAAATATCTTCTACTCTCACTGGCCATGTTTCACAGCCATAAAGTAGGGCGGAGCGAACCACTGCACAGTACACTTGTACTTTAGTCAGCAAACGGATATCTCACCTACGCCATAAGTGACGCAGGTTGGCGAAAATTGTAGTTGTAGTATTAGTAGAAAAGAGTAATAATCGATGGTTAGGGACCTTCAACGACATGGCTCAAAATTGTTTGCAATGGCGCAGGTGCATTCATTCTTTGTATTCTCTTAAATCATAACCTTCAGAATTTACTCATCACCTTTATAACTTTTCAAGTTTATTTCACTAGATTCTACTTCTTGAATAATAATCTAGTCGAACCCTAACATTTCCTATTACTACTGCTCATACTTGTAGTACCTCTGTAGTGAATGAAACCGCAGGTGGGGCAACCGAATTGTATTTAATGAAAATTACAGAGTTACTCAGTAAACTTGGAAAACCATATCGTAAATCGTAATTTGCAAAATATCAGTTCATCATATGGAACTGGACGGTTCCTGTTGTAAACATCAATCCATTGTCTGACATTTCACTATTCATGCGTTTCATACAAATCCCATTGTGTTCCCGCTCTTCCTTTCTTGATCTTCCCCCATCATCTGCTGCCAGACATTACATTGACGCTCACGTCACATACTACTTATAAGTAGCTCGCACCACACCTCTACTACTATGGGATTTGAATTGACAATTGCATCTGTGTGTGCTAATGTGATATGACAACTTGAACTGATGTATGTACGTACGTACGTACGTACGAAGTTCTATGTTGTTGTTGACTGACTGACTGACTGATTGATTAACTGAGAAAAGAGTAAATCATTTCAAAATTTGTTTTTTTCCCCTTTTTTTTATTTTTTCATCGTTGTCGTCGTAAAACCAAAAAAAAAAAAACTAATAATCTAATTTAGCTGTTATTCCTTCATTGAACAATAATACTTCAGCATTATCAAGTACGCAACCAATTCATTGTGATGCTGCAGTACAAACAATGAATGATTTGCAATTATTCAATAATGATGACCATAATAATAATAATAATAATAATAATAATAATAATAATAATAATCATGTAGAAGAACAAGAAGAATTATTAGCAGCTCAAATAATACAAAATCAATCAAAATCTGTACAAAGTGATACAATGGAAGTGACTAATATATTGACTGCATCAAATAATTGTCGATTGCCAACATTACAAGAACGTATGATGGAAGCGGAGATTCTACGTATGGAACAAGAAGTACAACGTTTAAATGTATTAGTTCGGTATACACGTGCTGAAATGGGGCTGGAAATGCAACGTCGTATCGGTGAACTACGTCGTGTATGGAATGATGAATTGATTGCTATCATGGAAGCTGCTAGTCGTATATGGGAACATGATGTGATTAGAATTGTGGATGCTGTGAAACGTCGTCAATGGGTAGGTTCTATGTGTGTATGTTTTTTTGTCAATAAATTGCTTACTTACTTACGCCTGTTACCCCCAATGGAGTATAGGCCACCCACCAGTTTTCTCCAACCAACTCTGTCTTGGGCTTCCCTCTCCAGTTCTGTCCAATGTTTGTTCATTCCTCTCATATCTTTCTCTATTTCTCGACGTAATGTGTTCCTTGGCCTTCCTCTTTTCCTTTTGCCTTGACGGTTCCAAGTGAGGGCTTGTCTTATGACGTAGTTAGGTGCTTTTCGTAGTGTGTCCTATCCACCAACTCCACCGCTTCTTTCTGATTTCCTCCTCCACTGGAATCTGGTTTGTTCTCCTCTCACAGTACGTTGTTGCTGGTGGAATCTGGCCAACGAATCCGAAGCATTTTGTGTAGACAACTGTTAATAAACACTTGTATCTTATGGATGATGCCTTTCTTAGTTCTCCATGTTTCCACTCCATACAGTAGAACTGTCTTGACATTTGTATTGAAAATCCTGATTTTGGTTTGGAGTTTCAGATATTTTTCAACTGTAGAAATGCAGCCCTTGCTTTGCCAATCCGCACTCTCACATCTGCATCGGATCCACCTTGGTTGTCTATGATGCTGCCCAGATATGTAAAGGTGTTAACGTCCTCCAAGGCATCTCCATCAAGAGTGATTTGGTTGGAGCATGTTGTGTTGCATTGGAGAATTTTGATTATTATTACAACACTATATAATACAAGTCTAAATCTCATGTAAATTACTAGTTTCCTCAAACGTAGATAAATCTGGCTTAGTGACTAGTTCCCAACCATCAATAAAAATTTGGATTTTTAAACATTTTTCTCGATTGTGTTTATCATCAGTTGCTACTGTTGATCTCATGTAGTGTGTACTGATATGTTGAGTCCCACAAGGGGCTTGTCCCCAGCCTTTGGACAAATTAATTGATCCATTCTACTCGAGCTACTCACTTATACGTCTGTCAGCCTTGTCGATGATTCGCTTATTTGGCCTTAGTTGCTTTTAAAATTGAATGCATGTGTGCTTTGCGTGCGGTACAACATAGCTCAAACTTGTTTGCAATGGCGCAGGTACACCCACCCATTGTGTTCTCTTAAATTCTAACCTTTTGAATTCCTCATCATCTCTATCTTTCTCTTTCTTAATTTATCTCACTGAATTATACCGTAATCTTCTCCATTACAGCTAATAATTCTACTATCGCTACCAATATGTGATTCGAACTGACAGTTGCGTCTATGTGCTAATACGGTATGGCGACCTGAACTGATGTACATACGTACGAAGTTCTGTGTTGTTTCTGTCTGTCTGTGCTTTGCTTACTTCGCTTATTACCCGTCCAGCTTGTTTTTTTGTGACTTACCTTGTCGTATCCAGTTTGTTTGCTCGCCTTCTCCACTTTACTTTACTTTATTTCTATGATTTTGATCGTGATATAAATGATTACGTGAAATCCACTCATTTTCAGGCTATTCATTGAATATCCTAAGAGAATTATTTGTAAGTCTAGTTCTATTGGTCAATTCCTTTTGGTCGTCCTAACTATCAATGTCACATACTTGAATATTGTTTCCTATTCGACCTAAGTGTATAAATAAGCATTATCTGTAGCGTATTATGACCCGTGTCCTTAGTTCGGCATCCTTACCCTCTTCTGGACTCAGACCTCGTACTTTCTTGATGCTGGTAGAATACACATTCTACTTCATATCAAGCCTGCTTCTTCTACTCAATGGGGGGGGGGGTTCGGGACGCTCGGATTAGAGTAGTCTGTCGTGTCACCTGATCATCTGTCCTCGCTCTCGTTTACAGACTAAGGTGAACTCATAATAGTTCAAGCATATCAAATGACGTGTTGACGTGCATTCATAACACTCATACTGTAGTGAAGGAGAAGACAGGCGAGGGCAACCGGATTGTATTTAACGAAAATTACAGAGTTACTCAGTAAAATAGAAACACCGTATCGTAAATCGTTAATTTGCTAAATATCAACCGATCATATCGAACTGGACGGTTCCTGTTGCAAAACATCAATCCATTGTCTGACATTTCACTGTTCATGCGTTTCATACAAATCCCATTGTGTTCCCGCTCTTCCTTTCTTGATCTTCCCCCATCTTCTGCTACCAGACATTACGTTGACACTCACGTCATATACTACTTATAAGTAGCGCGCACCACAATACATCTGAGTCCATGTTTAGCTTCATATTACCACTGTCGCATTAACGGAAAATTGAATCGTTCGTACAAATTGAAGTTAGATTGCCGACCACTAAGCTCAATTGATATGATTTTTCCCTGTTGTATTGTTTTAAGTATTACTGTTCATAATCATTATTACACACGCTGATCATCATATATTTTATAAAAATTTATCTATTCAGTAAAATATCCTCCAAAAAATCAATTAATTCATCATGTCGTCTCTTATTATTACCTTATTTTGATTGTCATCACTACTATACTTGATCAAATCTTGATATCCTCTCATTCAGTTTGATAAATTAAAAGAAGAACCTAATCAATCCCACCTCCCAAAAATGTGAATTATTGTTTTCAATGTATATTACTTTTTTGCATATTGAATTCATCAAACAATCATTGTTAGATCACCATTAGAAATCTGGAAGCACTGGGAGGCTGTTTCGTCCTGGTATGGTACTCATCAGGAGTACGCACCCAAAACTCCTGCACCTTGGATGACTCGAACCTAGGACATTCGATTTTGCGCGCGAACGCCTAACCTCTGTAACTTTTTTTTCAAAAATATATTCTCATAACTTACTTAAGCCTGTTATCCCTTGTGGGGAAGGAGCATAAGCTGCCGACTTGCTTTTTCTGGTTAACCTTTCTCTAGTGAGTTGGTTTTCTATGAGATGGATGCACTAACTGCGATGCCTAACAACTCTCCTCCTCCTCCTTTATCCGACCTTCAGATTGGCAGTAACGCTAGATTGGGCTCCAGGCTGAGTTATTCTCATAACTAGCCTAGATAGTAGAAGAATTAACAGTAATGGAGAAGAGTAGAATTTGAAGATATGATTCAAGAAGTATAATTCAGTGAGATAAGTTTAGACAGAGAAAGATAGACATGATGAAGAATCCTGTTGAATAAAGCTTAAGAGAACACAATGACTGGTTGCATCTGCGTCATTGCAAACGATTTGGAACCAATAATAATGATAATAATTATTATTATTATTACAATTATTATTTTTTACACATTTGAAATCATCAATCAATCATTGTTAGACCACACCATTAGAAACCTGGAAGCACTGGACGGCCGTTTTGTCCTGGTATGGGACTCATCAGCAGTACGCATCCAAAACTCCTGCTCCTCACAGGATTCGAACCCCGGGACCTTTGGCACTGCTGATGAGTCCCATACCAGGACGAAACGGCCGTCCAGTGCTTCCAGGTTTCTAATGGTGTGGTCTAACAATGATTGATTGATGATTTCAAATGTGTAAAAAAATCGCAAACCTCCAAAACTGTGCCCCAAAATAATTATTATTATTTATTTTCCTCTCTCTTTCTCTTTCTGTGTATATTTTTTTATAGTGTGCTTATTGTGGACGTATAGCTTATTATTATTGTTGTTGGAATACATCATATTGTAATAGTGTTTGTCAATCGAAACATTGGTCATTTCATATGTCAACATGTGTACAAGCTAAAAGTCAATTGAATAATAACACAAATAATCATACTCATACGACTACTACTCATACTACTACTACTACTACTAATAGTATTAATCATAATAATACTAACAATAATGATATGAATACTAATCATAATAATAGTATGAATATTAATCATAATAATAATCATACTAATACTAATATAAATGGTCCAACACGTTATCATTCGGAATCACCACATACCATCATTGATCATCATCAACAACAACAACATCAACAACAACACCATCTTCAACAGCAACACCAACAACAACAACAACCAAGTATCCATGTAGCACAACCACCAATTTATCCTCATCTTCCATTGAATTATCAACATATTCTATCACAACAACGAATAATTCTACCGAATACATCAAATCCAACATGTCAGTCAAATAATACCAGCGGTACTAGTTCGTTATTAGGCACTAACATCACTACTAACAATAATAATAATATTACATATCAACGTTCAGTGTCACTGACTGCTATTCCTTTGCATCGAACATTTAAGAATAATTGATTGGTTGGTTGTTGTATTTTTTTTTCGGCACAAGGAAATCCTTGGTGGTTCAGTTGATGTGTAAGTAGTAGTTACATTTAATGCTTTGTACTGATTTGTTGTATGTATTTATTGTTTGTACTTACTCACTTGTATGCTTACTTACTTACTTACATACCTACTTACTTACTTACTTACTTACTTACTTACTTACTTACTTACTTACTTACTTACTTACTTACTTACTTACTTACTTACTTACTTACTTACTTACTTACTTACTTACTTACTTACTTACTTACTTACTTACTTACTTACTTACTTACTTACTTACTTACTTACTTACTTACTTACTTACTTACTTACTTACTTACTTACTTACTTACTTACTTACTTACTTACTTACTTACTTACTTACTTACTTACTTACTTACTTACTTACTTACTTACTTACTTACTTACTTACTTACTTACTTACTTACTTACTTACTTACTTACTTACTTACTTACTTACTTACTTACTTACTTACTTACTTACTTACTTACTTACTTACTTACTTACTTACTTACTTACTTACTTACTTACTTACTTACTTACTTACTTACTTACTTACTTACTTACTTACTTACTTACTTACTTACTTACTTACTTACTTACTTACTTACTTACTTACTTACTTACTTACTTACTTACTTACTTACTTACTTACTTACTTACTTACTTACTTACTTACTTACTTACTTACTTACTTACTTACTTACTTACTTACTTACTTACTTACTTACTTACTTACTTACTTACTTACTTACTTACTTACTTACTTACTTACTTACTTACTTACTTACTTACTTACTTACTTACTTACTTACTTACTTACTTACTTACTTACTTACTTACTTACTTACTTACTTACTTACTTACTTACTTACTTACTTACTTACTTACTTACTTACTTACTTACTTACTTACTTACTTACTTACTTACTTACTTACTTACTTACTTACTTACTTACTTACTTACTTACTTACTTACTTACTTACTTACTTACTTACTTACTTACTTACTTACTTACTTACTTACTTACTTACTTACTTACTTACTTACTTACTTACTTACTTACTTACTTACTTACTTACTTACTTACTTACTTACTTACTTACTTACTTACTTACTTACTTACTTACTTACTTACTTACTTACTTACTTACTTACTTACTTACTTACTTACTTACTTACTTACTTACTTACTTACTTACTTACTTACTTACTTACTTACTTACTTACTTACTTACTTACTTACTTACTTACTTACTTACTTACTTACTTACTTACTTACTTACTTACTTACTTACTTACTTACTTACTTACTTACTTACTTACTTACTTACTTACTTACTTACTTACTTACTTACTTACTTACTTACTTACTTACTTACTTACTTACTTACTTACTTACTTACTTACTTACTTACTTACTTACTTACTTACTTACTTACTTACTTACTTACTTACTTACTTACTTACTTACTTACTTACTTACTTACTTACTTACTTACTTACTTACTTACTTACTTACTTACTTACTTACTTACTTACTTACTTACTTACTTACTTACTTACTTACTTACTTACTTACTTACTTACTTACTTACTTACTTACTTACTTACTTACTTACTTACTTACTTACTTACTTACTTACTTACTTACTTACTTACTTACTTACTTACTTACTTACTTACTTACTTACTTACTTACTTACTTACTTACTTACTTACTTACTTACTTACTTACTTACTTAGCAGAGATGGTTAATTGTTAGTAGTGGTTATCTTGACGTAGCAGCTAAGTGTATAACGCAATGGTGTTTGAAACGAACGGTACTGGGTTTAAGTCCTCGAGTAGACAATAACAATGATATTCAAATATATCCAACTGACGGGTCTCAAACAGGAAAAAATGCGCGTCCTGAATTCCACTGCTAGTTTTATTATCCATATTAGCTAATAATCCATCCATCGACTAGTCAAATTGCATCCCACCAATCGACAGTTTGAACTATGTTATGTTTGATTGACGTCGGAATTTAACATATACGTGAATTCATTCTTAGGATAAACCGTTAAAGATATTTAGCAAGACAGTGATCATTGTGTGTTTGAGAAAGCTATAATTGATCATTTTTAAAACTTGTTTTATATGATGAAATGATGAATCAATCAATGATAGATCGCTATTGGAAACCTGGAAGCACTAGACACCCGTCTCGTCTTAGTATCAGACTGCAGTAGTGCGCATTTATGACATATGCTCGCGGAAATGGAACTCAAGACCTTCAATCTAACACACGAACGCCTAAACTCTAGACCGTTGAGTTGGGATCCAACGGTGGTAATGTCTAACTTGAATCAATCCAAGGTATTGCGCAACCTCACCTCACCTCTGTTTTCTGCTTCACATCCGACAGAGTCGCACTCCACTAGTGTTTTATTTATTTTTATATGAAATAACTGTTGTGCAACACTTCAATGCATGTATTTAGTATGTACAGGCCTGTATGATATTGATACAGACAGTCATTTGACATGTACATTTTAAATCTGCATATTCAATGACTTTTTCCTGGAGATGTTACTTTATGACTATTGAAGATGTTGAGTAATATAAGCTCAGTTATAAAATGTACCTGTAAATAATATTGGGTGGATTAAAAAAATCATATATTCCCTGCATAAGCGAATTGATTACCTTCCCTAATCTCTAACTTATGTACAATGGGATTCGAACTAATGGATTGGTCAATAAAAGTTGATTATTTTGACTATTAAGTTGATTTTCTCGTTAACGATTCTCTGAGTTGGAATGAAATATAATCATATTAAACATGCATCCAAAACAATGTAAGCAGTAAAGAATTCAAAGTAATAAATAGTAAATTCGTAAGTGTAACTCTCCTAAAGTTTGTACTTGGAGTAGTATCTTATGTCTTTCCATTTAGTTATACTCTACATCTATCCTTTCCCCAGTTCGTCGATTCAACTTCTTGGTTTCAAATATACGTACATATTTACAACAAAATTAGGTTTAAATCACATATAAAAGAGAATCATAAGTTTTTATTTGATTATGTGAAATGCATATATTCACCAGCGAATAGAACACACTTGGTGGTTATTATTCTATGGGAGTTTTATTCTCTTAACTGGCTAAATGGTTTGGTTGTGAAGCTTTCATTTATTCTTTTGAACGACATCAATAGCACAAACTTCAGCTAGAAGTGAAGTATTCGAATTTCTTCATGTTTTACTCGTCATCGTCGTAGCTCAACTAGGCTGAGCTCGATCTTGATTGGTTGCTGTTAATCTTTAATCTGTCATTGTCTACCTTTTTATGTTGATTATATCTTCCTTTTGGATTTTGGTTCTTCATCCTATGTGTTGTTGTGCTGATGATGTGTTATTATTCAGAAGAACAATGAATAGCTTCACGACTAAACTATCCATCTCTGCGGACAAAACTTCACTAACTCATACTTACTTACTTACTTACTTAATTACTTACGCGTGTTACTCCCAATGGAGCATAGGCCGCCCACCAGTTTTCTCCAACCAACTCTGTCCTGGGCTTCCCTATCCAATTCTGTCCAATGTTTGTTCATTCTTCTCAGGCTTTTCTCTATTTCTCGGCGTAATGTGTTCTTTGGCCTTCCTCTTTTCCTTTTGCTTTGAGGTTTCCATGTGATGGCTTGTCTCGTGACGCAGTTAGGTGCTTTCCGCAATGTGTGTCCTATCCACTTCCACCGCTTCTTCTTGATTTCCTCCTCCACTGGAATCTGGTTTGTTTTCTCCCACAGTACATTGTTGCTGATCGTGTCTGGCCAACAAACTCATATTATCATTCATTGTGATTTGATTGAATGATTTACCTTTAGAAACTGTATTGTTGTGCTCACTTATATATATATTTCAATTGTCAATGTCGCTTTATGTTCAATTTTCAATAAAATTAGAAATTGAACTATATTTCTGTAATTGTTTATTTTTTCCTTTTATATCTTATTTATAGTCTTCAAAATACCAATTCAATTCAATTCAGTTCAATTCACTATTGAATTCTTTTGTTTTACCCAATGTATGTACGTACATTGAATAAATTGGGCAAACACACATACACACGTACACACAGAGAGATGTTGAATATTGAAAAGCATTTTTTTTCTTCTAAATTCTATTAACAAACAGATTGATATAATAGGTAGATAGATTTTTTAAAAAAACAGCACTTCACTGATGACATGTGTGTCTATCTGTTCAATTATTTGTAGTTATTTATTTTTAGGATGATACTTTTGTAATTGTATTGATAATAGGGTTAAATTTTATTTCCCTCTACTATCTGCTAGTTACATTACACATACACACAGACATACACATACATACATACAAACGTACATTTGCATTTAAGAAAATTGTATTCATATATATATGTTTATAAATGGCGGGTTTTTTTTGTTTGTTTGAATAAACAAAACACTTTTTTAGAGTTGTTACACAATTGTATTTATTATACAATTGCCATTTGTTTGTTTTGACTTATTATTTTAAATAATATATATAAATATTTTTTAAATCAAACAAATACAAATTGAATACAAGATTTATTGTAAAATCTTTTTCGCTTTTTTTTATTTATCATTAAAAACTCTTGTTTGAATTAAAGTTTTTATTATTTTGTTTTTTTACTGTAAATATTCGACTTTTTGTTTGTTTGTTTGTTATCGTTTTCGTTTTTAGTCAACGTCATTTTGTGCGTTTTTTATATCATAAATAAATTAATTGATTCTTGTGAAGTCGTATGTACGTTGAAAAATCATCATCAGACAAGTGTTTGTTAAGAAATGCAATGGCGCCGGTAATTGTCGACTACCTGGTTGAGATCCACGAGATGATAATAATCGATGGTTAGAGACCTTGAATGACACGACTCAAAGCCCTTTGCAATGGCGCAGGTGAATCCACTCTTTGTGTTCTCTCAAATCCTAATCTTCTGGGTTCTTCAACAACTCTAGTTTTGACTTTCTAAACGTTTCTCATTAAATCATATTTCTTGAATAATATCTTCTAATCCTAACCTCTCCGATTACTCCTAGTACCTTTACTACTTCTTCTACTATTGGATTTGAATTGACAATTATATGTCTGTGCTAAGAATGTGGTATGGCAACGTGAACTGATGTACTTACGTACAAAGTTCTAAGTTGCATCTGACTGACTGTTAAGGAATCGGATCCAAAAAATAATAATAACTCAGTAATTCAAAACAGTGGTTCCATTTGATAAATTTGAATAGAGAAATGAGAAGACATATTTTGTGAGATAGTACCATTTCGTGCTTTCTCGTCAGTCACATACATACAAGCAACATGTTATTTGTGTAAATACAGCAGTTTTGAAGATAAGGTCAAAATTTCTTATTTAGCATGACATTCAATCACTAGAACCATGGTAAGTAAACAAAGGTCAACATACAGTTGTTTTTGAACACCACATAAAGTTGGACTTTTCCGACCAATCAAGATAGTTTCGAGTAGTTTGAGTGTGTGTGTGGGTTTTGATGACATGTCACAACTCGAAAGGCTGATTTTGGATCAATTTGATGACCACTCATCATTAGATGTTTTGCAATGGACGAGGCTGGGTTTCGTGATCGATTTTGAGATGATGGGCTAGGTTGATGAATCATGGATTTGATTAGCCATTTTGGAATATGTTCCCCTATCCTGTCTTCCAATCGGGCGATCTGTCCTACCTAAGTAACTTTCTCCGCAGTTACATGTGAATGGATAAATACAGTGGGATTTGGACTGAATCGGTCTTGGAGACTTGATTTACACAAATAACATGTTGATTGTATGTGACTGACGAGAAAGCACGAAATGGTACTATCTCACAAAATATGTCTTCTTATTTCTCTATTCAAATAACTCAGTAGTCTGCTTATTCAATGATATTCCCATGATCATTTGTTCATTGCATAAATATCAACAATGAAATCGATTACAATGTTTGTCATCATTTGAAATCGTGAATCGATAATCATTATTGGACTATCGTTAGAAATCTAGAAACACTGGGAAGCCGTTTAGTCCTAGTATGGGACTTATCAGCATGATTATGAGGTTATGAAAAATAATAAAATGTACTTATTAGTGACAAGCTTCGTAAGGAAATTCTCCGAGTTCTAGTAGTCATGGAAAACAATGGATGAGGTTGAACAGAACATTAGGTTGATCAAACTTAGACATTAACACCGTTGGATGACCCAACAACCGTAGCTGCTAACTTGATGTGGTGGTCCGGCTTGCCCGACTGTGATGACCCAACCGAGCTATATTGGCTGGAACATATGTTCCTGAAGGTTCTATCATGCCAGGCAGGTTAATTGGAGAGCAGTGACACTAAAGGCAACAACTCGACATCTGAGGGCGAGGTTGTACTGCTGACTGTAGAGAAATGTGACAGCAGTAAGGTGTTTTCTTCGGACAACTAGCATGTGCAGCAATGTTGACTTCTCATAAGATAGGAAGGGGATTGAAAAGGTCGACCCTAAAGATGTCACACCTCACCTTACTTCACGGATTTCCGTCTACAGCGGTAAGGCCTTTAAAACAAGAGTGGAGCCAACACCCTCAAAAACTACCCATAAAAAGCCTGTGTGTGTTCGGTCCCACGCATTTGTCCCTTAGACTTTGCGGTCACGCTCCCAGGTCTCTAAGACCCCGAATTAGTCACAATCAAATCCATCTTATACCTCTTAATAACCCTCTTATCACCATGTCCAAACTTTTTCTCGCGCCGCTGAAACAAATGGTTTTAGTACATGAAATTTTATTCCTGATCTCCTAAAAGCTCGCTCTAAGCTACATGTTTGAGCTCTTAATTTTCGAACCTTGTGCTAAATAGGACAACAGGCTCTCTTAGCTAGGACTCTGGAATTACATGCAATCGATGTACGCTGCGTCTCTCAAATGCGCATACAGAGTCCGAGTAGAACTATTGATCTGGCTTCGCCTTGTCTACATAAAGAACTCACTCGATTCACGCTTCCTGTATTTGGAAGCTCTGCTGCTGCTTACCGTGGCCTTGCTGGTGTAGTTATCGCATTAAGTCCTAGGGCAGAACTCGCTCTCCTAGACTGGATCCCATTAGATAGTCGCTTGTACGCTTTCCGACTGAACGGGACAATAAGGGCTCAGACAGATAGGGATACTCGCCATCGTCTCTTCGTCGTATCTGCCTACGCTCCCGCTGACTGCAGTTCAGACAAGGTTAAAGATGAGTTTTACAGAAAGTTATTAGAACTTCAAAAAGTTAGTTGCCTTGATGTAGTAATAGTGGTTGGTTAATTTAATGCTCATGTAGGTAGACTAAGCGGAAAGGAAAGGCATCAGTATGGATCTTATGGTGTTGTAGCGACCGTCTTTTGCAGCTAAGCCCAGATAACTATCTGTATCTAGTCAATAATAACTTTAGGTTCAAAGAAAAACATCTTTCAACGTGTTGACTCCTAAATACGTCCCAGTGTTGTACCCACATAGATCACATCGCTATCAGCCCCCAATGTAGAAGCTCGATAGAAGACTGTCGCTCGTTCTGGAGCACATGTTTAGATCTAGATCATGCTCTAGTGCAAGTGGGTATCTGTTAGCGACTTACTGGACGTAGGAAAATACACTGCGAGCAAACCTCTTAGGGTTCTACTTGATGATAGCACAGCTAAGAATATATTTTAGGAAAAACTAGAAAAACAATTAGTCAGCCATGTAAGTGATGCTCACTCTGAGACAGCTTGGAATGATATCCAAAAAGCTATGAAAACAGCAGTGATATCTACTTGTAAGGTAAACCATAAGTTTAGGCAGAAACAGTGGATTCTAGTAGCAACTTTCGAACTGACAGACGCTCAGATACTCGTTCCGTCGGGCTCTGAGTACGATCAGTCAGCTTCAGCGCAGGCTGATAAGAATCCTACGCAGTGCTGGTGGAATAGTAAGTGCTTAGATAATTAGAAACTCAGACAGCATGCATGTTTATGTGCTCAGTTTTAATCATTCAATCAGAAGTGCTAACAATAATTACTAGAATCCTGTTCTTTCATTCACTTTGTGTGTGCTATAGATTGAATAGGTAATTTTGTTTAAGGAAGTTGATGTACGTCCACCTTAATACTCTATTCATACATATTCGAGATGCATATTGTTGTAATGGCTTGCTTAGATAATTCCCAGCTAAATCCTATTGCTTAGTATTCTCTGACCACAATACACTGGACAATTTCCCAAGAATCAAAAACACGGTTGAACAGGAAAAGATTATATTCCCAAATAGCAAGGTTAAATGGAATAAGAAGCCAAAGGTGATGGCGAAGGCAAAAATAGATACAACGTTAGTCTATTTATAGCATTTACATGAGAAGCTACTGGATAGAAATTCACGTGATCGACTGGATTAGATTTAGCCAATCAGCATGCAGCTAACAGTGCAAGAATTTCCTACCCTTTTTGAGATGGTGGAGAAAACTTGTAGCTCAGATGGATGATTGTAGTGGTGTTTCGTTCTCTGAACTGGTTGTTTTGGTTGTGGAGCTTTCATTGTTCTTCTGAACAACAAACATCATCAGCACAAACTTCAGATAGAAGAAGTGAAGCATTCGAATTTCTCCACGTTTGACCTGTAGCTTGTTCTGCTAACCTCGATCTTGATTGGTTGCTGTTGACCTTTGACCTGTCGTTGTTTGCATCTTCGTTTTGATTGCCTTCCCCTTTTGATCTGTTTCTACCCTGTTCTCCAAGAATCGATCAGGCGCTGATTGGACAGGAAATTAGCCATTGTGGTGGTGTTTCGTTCTCTGTGCTGGTTGTTTTAGTTGTGCCAATCAGCGCGTAGCAACGTAGTCATGCTTTGATTCCATCTATGTCCCATTAACACATACACACGCCTAAGTATATGACAAATCAATTCATTATATTCATTCTATTCGAATCGAAGAGCAGTTTCACTTCAATCATTTCAAACAAAAATTCGACCATTTAAGTGATAATCACTCACTATATCACAGTGAACATCGTTTCATGAATGGTAGTAGTAGAGTAGTACACCTGCTAGAATGCAGTTTTACCATTTGTATTAATCAAATTACACAAACACATACAAAATAGAATGAAATTCCTCTGATAAGAAAGTATCCAAAAGCATTCCATTCAATTGAACTACTGATTATATTTTTCATGTCAAATAGATAATAGATATGATATCATTTAAATGTTCATTTATTATATAGTAGTCACTCATTATGTATGATTTTATTGATTTTCTCTTTTTTTCAATGCTTAACCTGGCCAACTAAACTGTCTGTTATCAATATGATTCTTTTTACTTGGATCAATACAATGAAATATAGTTGTGGAGTTTGTACTATATGATAAAATGCTAAGAATTTCATA